TATTTATTAATATATTTATTAATATTAATTCCCTGAGGAATCAAATAGTTTTCAACTATTAACCAAGATCCAAAAATCTGCAAACAAAAAAAAAGTTTGGTGACACAGAGTGATTTGTCCAATGTTAAGGAAGAAATCCGTGGCACAATAGGGAAGTGTGGCACTAAGAGTAAGAACTGTGGCAATAAGAAATCTGTGGCACTAATAGTCCTATTAGATTTCTTTCTTCTTTGTCTTATTCTTTAAAATCATTCTTCTAAGAGATTGATAGCAATTAGTCTCCATGGAACCATGGAACCATTTAATGAATCATACAACAGGAAAAGCCTACCTCTAAAAAAAAATTCTTTCCTGTTTCAGTAGTATATTTGTAATGCACAGTGACAGAAGACCGGAAAAAGGGACATTTCTCCTGAGTGGGTTGATTAATTAACTTAAGTTGCCTGAATTCAGTCCAAGAAATCTATGTCAAGGAGGAATCCTGCACAGTTTTCCCTAAGTGAGCTTGGAGTAGTCCCTCAAACACTTTATTTCAAGAGCACAGAAGGAATTTATGAAGCCAGGTATGAAATTGGCCTTTCTGAGCAATAAAGTAATCCTTGATGCACATCATGAGCCAAAGAACAGGCATTGTGTTTATCAACTCAGGAAATGGGGATGAGAAGAACATACAACACAAACATTATCAAAACTAAGAATATTTGTTTTGTCTGGAAGAGGTGATTTACACAATTTCTACAGTTATATTGTTTCCTGTTTGATCAGAGATGATTCTGAAGTCTAGGCTTTTATCCAAATCCCCAGTTTGCTAAGGCTTAGAAGGGGTCAGAAATGAAATTTAGTTCACAAAGGTTCTTGTTAGTTAATAAATTCTAAAAAGTTTAGTTTGCTAGGGACAGCTAAATACATCATGGGTTTTTTATTAAAAAAATATTACTAAAAACATTGTTTTGACTTTAAAAAATAACTAGCAGTCTTTAAAAGTCAACATTAGAGACCAGATAATCCAGAAGCTGGGCGTATTATTATCTGAGTTTCGTAAAACATCTAAGTGGACTGTAATTGAAAAGGTTTGGGAATGATTGTATTGCATCCATTAGTTTTTTCTATGTAATCAATATGTGTTAGGGGCACCCATTGTGCTCCATATTGGCACTCAGAGTACTCAGTGGCTTCCAAAAATTCACATACTACCTACCACTCCTTGCAAAAGTCCACTGCTCATTGGCAAAGCAGTTCAAGACTAACCCAGATGCTAAAACTTGTTGAAATTTTGTCCATTCACTTACCTGTAGTGTCTTTGTGCCATCCACTATCATCTGCAACCTGGCACTGTATAAAACATTTTTTTTGTCTCAAAGAATACTTTCTGTGCTCTACATTTCTCATTTCATTAAAGTGTAATTTCTCCTTCAGATCTCTGTAGAAAGAGCTAAGCACACCACAGCTGAGGAGGAGGTACTGAAGTTAATCACAGAATAAGAACATAATCCAAGTTGGAAAGGTCTTCAGGAGGACTCTACTCTTACTTGGATAAGGTCAGTTATGTCCTAAGTCAGATCAGGTTGCCTCTGGCTTTACCTAGCTGTTCCTTGAAAATGTCTCAGAACAGAATATGCAGATCTCTCTGGGCAACCTGCTCCAGTGCCTGGCTGTTGTCATGATGAAAAAGATTTTTATGTTGTACAGGCTGAATCTCTCTTATCCATCATCCTCCCACCATGCTATGAAGAACCCAGCTCTTCACACTGATAATCTTCCTGTAGGTACTGGAGGGCTTCTGACAGGCTCTCCTGAGGCTGCCTTTTCCCTTGGCTCTACATTTCCAGCTGAGGTGCTCCATCTTCTGATCATCTTTGGAGCACTGCCCTGAACTAAAGATGATTAAGTTGCCTTCAGGTACAGAAACAGAAAAGATTCATTAGTTCAGCCCTACAATCAGATGAACCAGTTCTGGCAAGAATGACTTAAGCAAGGCTCTCTCACAGGATTGCACATTCTATATAAGGTATGCCAAGTGTATGTGTATGTCAGTCCTAGAATAACATCATGACATGAATATATGGAATTATATAGGTGCAACATTACCCTAATGAAACCACTGAACTACCACAGAACCATATTTTTCTCAGAATGTTCTCACAATCTTTTATAGAGTCAATTTTAAACAGACACAATGAACTTTCTTTTTCACATTCATTCTTGAATCTGAGATACCTTGAGATACTAGTAACAGTGCAATGCACAATATATTTGTACATAGACATTTTTCATGAATACTTGAAACAAGAGATATCAAAATGCAAGGTCTCTTTCTTTCCTACCATAAAGATACATTCTGAAAAGAAAAATTACTAGAAAACTGTTCTTTGCAGTGCAACTTCTCCCACTCCCTTTTCACCAGTACAAAATGCACTTATCAGCACACAGTATACCTTAGGCTGGGAATCACAAAAAAAAACAAGGGGGAAAGGTGAGGAAAAAACCAAATTCAATAACCATATCAAAAGACATTTAAGCAAAGGAGGAATATTAATTACCAAGTCCAACATTAAAAATCTAGCCTACAGTAATATTAATATCAAAATCTCTCAATTTGTAGATCTGCAAGATCTACAACAGAGGATTCATACACGTATTTGAATTAACTCTCAAACTGGGGACATGCCTGGAGAAGGACTGCTGCAAATCAATATGCTAGACACAGAGGCCACCTGTAATACTTGGAGCTGAAATCTGCCAGCATGCTTCACTTAATAAGTGTCTGTCACGGCACTCACAACTTGGCAGCGAAAGTCAGACCTCTGTCAAGTGCCTCAAGTGTGATGTCCAATTCAATTACTAAAGGACACATTAAAATCCGGCTTATATGATTAAGAAATAACAGCTACCTATTTTTATTTTGTGATTAGAATCTCCCCAGTCTCTTTAAAGAAAAACATTTTCAGCCTATTCAGTTTCAACATTCACATTAATAAGTTAATTTTCCTTAATAAGCAATTTTAGATAGAAACTGAAAGCTTAATAAACTTGTTCTCTACTAAATACAAGATACTAAAATATAATCATATTAAAAAAAAACCTTCTATTTTTAACTGTCATTGAGAAGAAATTATCTACTGTAGGTATTTTTTGCACACTCTTCCCTGTATTCTTCAGATATATCATTGAGCAGGACAAATTCAGGGTACTTCTATTACCTATCAACAGTGGCCAAATTCACTTTAGTTTTGGGACAGAGTAATGCACTGTCTTTTCAGTGATATCAATAGGTCCATTCTGCTCACACTGCATGAGTGTTCTTCCTCCTCTCCTCCCCTGTCTCTCCCCTCCTTATCCTCCCATGCCAGGAAAGGAAGGAATTCTACTTTTCCTGCTCAAATATCCAATAATCATTTCAGCCATCTGTTTCAATACAAGAAACTCTTCATAGAAGTCCATCTAAATGGCAAACCATTAGAGACTAAGATGATTTATTTTAGTTTAGTGCAGTGTCACTAGTTTAATAAAATAAAAAATAACTAAGGATTTGGGAAGTACTATGGCTTACCTATGTAAAAACTCACTCTCTTGCCAATACATTCTATCGCTGCTGACAGACATTAGAACATTCCTTTCATCTCTTTCCTCTTCTTGCAGTTTAAGCTATCCCCTTAAGGAGTATTTGCTTTCTCTAAGATAGATTATAAATTGTATGCAACATGAAAACCTTACACACTTCCTCTACCATCTGTAAGGCTTTTATTTCTACTTCTTAAAAAGGAATTAAGTCAAAAACCTTTTATATGTCTTTTCATTTTGGGTAAATAGACCAGGATTACTTTGCTGTAAGAAAATTAAAAGAAAATTATTGCTTTTTCCAGATATGTGCATCTAAATAAGAGAAGCATTTTTTAATACAGTCAACCAAACATTCAAATCTACTGAAACCAAACGTGCAATGGAAACTGTAATAAAGAGCAAATATGGACCATACACATCCACACACACAAACATCCCCTCCATTCATGACAAAAACAGGATCTAATATGGGATTGGTTTCTCTCAAATAATTCTTTCTGCATCCAAGTGTGATTCCAGGATGTGCAAATTAAGCAAAATGTTATGGGTCAAATTCTTCTTAACACTACATGTGCTCAAGTCAACTGAGATTGATGGCAATGGATCCAGTGTCAGAGGGTGGAACTGGCACAGAAAATCACAAGGTAAGGAGCTGTTCTTATAAAAATAGACATGACATAGTGCTTTGAATGGAGGAGAAAACAATTCTCAATGTGGCCTGGGAGAAAGAAAAGCAGAGAGAAGCAGAAAAACTGACTACAATAGCTAACAAGTTACCAGATAAGGATCAACTATCAAAACCAAGACAACTGCAAGAATCTGTATGTTCATAATGGCTCTGGTTGAACCTAATCCCATTACAAAACTGTGTCTAATGGAAGGAAAGCTAGACCAGTTCCTAATCAATTTAGAGCTGTGAAGAGGAGAGACTAGTTTATAACTTTTGTATATACTTCTGTATTCTTTGAAAGTACAAAATAGCTAGTTAAGATTTCATTATGCAGAGCTTCATTAAGTCTTCAGTACAAATTTTCCTTTTTCCTCCTCTTCCTCTTCTTTTTTTTTTTTTTTTATTTTTCTTTTAAACAGAAACGTTCCTAAAAGAAGCCTGGGTACCTTGCAAAATCAAACTAAATCAAAAACAGATTCTCATATTTGTGTAGACGATTTAGCAGTAACATTTCTAGCAGTGGGAGTTTGCAAATATTATCAAATTCATGTTCATGTTATGACAACTGACGGATGGAAACCAGAAGCTATTCTGACACACGTTTTAACCCATTTTTCTGCTACTGGAATGACTGTGAGCACAAATGTCAGCCTGGTTAAACTTTTATTTGAGTGAAATGTGAAGATGCATCATATCCTCAGCTGAGTTCCAGAACCACTCAGGATGTCATGTAACATTTAATTTAGTAAAAAAGGATTAAACATCTAACCTGGAACAGCTATCTTCCCAGCTGTTGGATGATTCATTTCCATCACAAGTCCATTGTGCAGTACCTAGGAAAACAAAACAAAACAAAACAAAACAAAACAAAACATATAAAATACAATAAATTCCTAAACTCAAGAGGGGAAAAAAGAGATAAACAGTATCATGCTCTTTCACAGACTCTGAAAATACAAGGAGCTACAACACAAATAGTCTGCTTAATGTGTAAAATGAAAGCTTTGATGTTTGACATTACTTTTTGTTCATGCAGTTAAACAAATGCTTCACTAACACTGCACATGTCTAAGATATCTGTAAACTCTTATAGTCATCATCAAACATAAGAAACTGAGCTGTAAGCACATCACACTTTCAACCACCAACAGACAACTGGTACCAACACAGACTGGCTATTAAAACCTTCACCCCCTTTCATACTAACCTGCAATATGTACTAAGGGCCTATACATAAACCATGTTCCCTTGTTTGTACTGTTAGTTTTAAGCTTGTGATGGATCATAATGCAAAATGCTGTCTTAATAGCTTTATCAAACATTTTGAAAAGACTAAATAATTTCTATGTTTTTTATATTCTTTTGAGTAGGTATGCCATGCTTGAGGCCCTGTGTAAATCTATATGTGATGATTATTCATCACAATTTTCAGATCCTTGTTATTAGGCTCAGCCAGAAAACAATGTGGGATACCAAAACTGTCAAGTAACAGAGAAAAAGATATTAATACTAGCAAACTCACTGCTTTTGTATATAATTCTGCACCCAAAACCACTAAACAATATTTATAATTTCTTTACCTATTATACTTCCATCCTTGTAGCACTGCTACGCTAATCATATAATCAAAATTATTAAAAAAAATTAAATAGCCACCCACTAGGCAATTATTTTCACATCCAATGTAACAAATCTAGAATGTCTTGGAAAATGAATCAGCTATAGAAAAAGAAATATGGGAAAACCCTTTTAAGTGATCATGTAATGCATCTACCTATTCACCTTGCACCATGAACAACACTAGCAACCTTGACTATTGATGACAAGTGTTGGTCTAATTAATCTTTAAAATTTCAAGATAACAAGTTGAGAATTTTCTTATCTAATCTGTACCTTATTTTGCATTTTTATTACTAGAATTTTTTCTCCTGATACATAATCTAAGTGTCTATTAAATATTTTTATTCTCATCTTTTCCCCAAATGAACACAGAAAACCAATCACTATCATCTTTATAACATTCTTTTATGTACTGGAAGACTGTAATCACATCCTCCCTCAGTCGGCTCTTTTCTAGACTAAACAAAACTAATTCCTTTAACCATTCTTTCCAGGTCAAATTTGGTGAACCCTTTATCTGTGTAGAATAGCCTGCTTAAAAAATTCCCATTCCTGAACAGGTGGTGTCAAAAGGTCAGGTCAGCCTTCTCTTAGCTTGTGGGGGGAACTTATTTAGCTGACATTTAGAAATCCAGATATTTCCGATAATAGATGCTGGTGGAACAATATCTCTTCACTAGTCTAATTGTTTGGCAGTATACCAAATCATTAGTTCTATTTCTCTTTCAGAAGGTTAAGGGCAATTTTGGTAGACATTCAAGTGAGACATCCAGAATTTTTTTTCCAAATGACAGAATTAGAAAATATAATTGCTTGTTTTAATTCATATTTAGAAACTTTCCAGTCATGCCCTTTATCAAATAGTATTGAAATTTTGGTCTCCTTTCTCCAAAACTTACTTACACAACCTTGCTTTATGTATATATTTGGTGTCTGGGACCTGAATGCAAGAAAACACATTCATTTGAACTTGAAACCACAGCAAGCTCAGGTGAATAAGCAGTTCTTTAGATAGCAAGTTGAAGCATGTACCTAAAAGTGGTTCCATTTGGTTAAAGAAAAACATACAAACTGTCTAGCAGTTATTCAGGGCTAGACAAAATCATGCTTTTCTCTGTTCTGAGTCTCTAAATCCTTATTCTCATAAGATAGATATAAATTGCTTTTACAAGACTTTTTTTGTTAGACTCAAATTCCAGATCTCTTTTCTTTACAGAATGAACTACAAAACCCCTGATCTTTGAGAATCACCACTATTCCTTTTAAAAGAATTGCTTAAGATGCAGTCAAGCTTCCTTATTATTTTCATTATTAGTACAGGGTTGAATTTCCCTCTCAGATATCTAATATATATATTAGATATATATATATAATATATATTCCTTCTCAAAAACACTGGAATTTCTATTAATCTTATTTTCTACAGTAATTAAGCCTACATTGATATACTCAGTTCCAACTTTTCTTTTGAAGAAAACAATCACCAAGCAATGACTGGTCAACAACTGTGGATTTTTTTCCCCTACATCAGCAACACTGTTTAAAATAACTGTGTAATTTCCCATTCCATGCGTTTCACTGTTATGATTCAAAAAAAAAAATTAAAAAAAAAACAACCTTCACCAACTTCTCATGTGCATTCTTAAAAAACATGAAGGATTACTGCATTCTAGCCTTGATAGAATGCAACGTTCACATCCTTTATCATCAAAGACGAGAAACCAGAGGAAAAGGTAACAGACACAACTCAATGGATTTCTCCTCCATTGTCTTGTGTAGCTGAAATGGTCATGATGTTTCTGGTAGAAATAGATGGTAGAGTCCTCTATTGTTTCTGTATTCGCCTGAGTTCATAATAAGGAACTGATGAATCAAGAGAATCATGAAAAATATTATGGCAATCAATAGATCAAGTTTTTGAATGTTTTTTCCATATGGATTATGTTGCAGAGTAGAAATACTATATGATCTGTTACCACGTGAGATTTTCTGAATCAAATAATGTTTGGGAAGCATTTTACAGTGAGATCACTGTAAAGAAATCAGAAGCACAGTCTTCAGTCTTTCAGTAAAAACATTTTAAAACATATTGGAACAGTCTGGCCAGCAAGACTAGGGAAATTACTCTTCCCCTGTACTCAGCACTGGTGAGATGGCACCTTGAGTTCTGTGTCCAGTTCTGGGCCCCTCAATTTAGGAAGGACATTGAGGTACTGGAACGAGTCTAGAGAAGGGCAACAATGCTGATGGAGGATCTGGAGCACGACCCCTGTGAGGAGCAGCTGAGGTAGCTGGGGTTGTCAGCCCTGGAGATAAGGACACTCAGGGGAGACCTGTAACTACCTGAAAAGAGGCTGCAGTCAGGTGAGGGCTGGCCTCTTCTCCCAGGCAACAAGTTACAGGAGAAGAGGACAGTCTCAAGCTGCTCCAGGGGAGGTTTGTACATTAGGTTGTACATTAGGATGTACTCTTCAAAGAAATGGTGATTAGATATTGATGTGGGCTGCCCAGGGAGGCAGTGGAGCCACTGTCCTTGGAGGGGAGAAGTCCCTTTCAAGGAAAGACTGAACCTGATATAGCTGACATGATAGTTTTCAGACTTAAGATCTCAGAGGTCTTTTTCAACCTAGTTGATTGATTCTGTGATACCATTTTATTTTATTCCAGATAAAGACATAATTTCAACTCTGATGACACATGTAATTAAACACCCATAACAACATGGTTTCTCTTAAAACTGCCAGCAAAGTTTCAAGTCTACCTCTCTCAATTCTACCAAAGGTAACCTTCGAAATCCCTACCAAAGGAGATACTGGAATCAGAAACATATCAAACCTTGTAGCTCCCACCTCCCTCCTTCCCAGATGCAAAAGCTCTATTTAGTGTGGAGCTATGCACTCAAAATATGCATTTTTACAGGTACTACTCTTTCACAGATTCATCTAGAGTTTAGTGAAAAGGATTTTCAGGGCCACAAAGGAAATGATATAACCCTTTTCTCCATATTTTTGTAGCCACAAGATAGCTGGCTGTTGGTAAACATAATTACTACTTGTGCCTCTAAACCACAAAAAAGTAATAACAGTTTTCCCTGTACATGCTGAACATAGAGCAATGGTCATAATCACCCCTTGAAGAAGTAACAGCACATGTTGTGAAGCAAATGCCATATTGGAATTGCATCCCACATCCTAAAACTACCCCTTTCCCAATAAAAATATGTCAAGTCATCTGAAATTTGGAAAGGATATTAAATATATCCCACATCTGATGCCTGGTTCTACTTGGTCTTGTATTCCTAGAATGTTGTTGCACAACAGAATGGTTTGCATGTCAGCATGTTTTCCACCACCACGTTCTTTCCAAAGCAGAAATCCCAATATATTCAAGTCCTGTTGCAAAGTTTGTCTTTCATCACTAATAACTTTACTATTCTTCTTTTCAAAGTTTCTAATATGCAGGGGTCACTTGGAGAAGATATTAGCTCTCTACTATATCTAAGTATTGCATTAATGAATCACATCTATCTCCACTTTACCTTCATCTGTCTCTCATATCTGAAGTTTCTTACCATTTCATGAGACAGGGCATAATTTAATTTGCTTCCTTAACAAATTTTTGAATTAATAAAATCTGGTTTTGTTGTTTCCAATTGCCTATTTTTAACTCTTTTAATTTTAATTGCCTAATTTAACTCTTTTCTCCCATTCCCTTACTATGACGCAGTGAACACTGTATGTTAAAGTCTCTTAGGTCCCTAGCACCATGTCTGTGATATTATATGAATACACACAGGAAAATCACAGTTTGTTGCAATGTCCTTATCCTGTACTGCTGCTTTTGTACAGGACAGTGTCTTACAGATTATTTCCTTCACCAAACTTGTTGGGGTTTTTGTGCGTGTGAGGGGATGGCTTTGACAAAGCCTTTCTTATGTCACAGCCTCGTATTTTCTACTATATGCTATAGACAAAATTACTTTTTATTGACATCCCTGGGGATAGGGTTTTGAGGCCTGACATTTTATCCTGATCCATGTCCATTATTCAAATACTTCACACTTTTCCACTGCATCTCTTGTTCTACTACAGAACACCTCACCTAGATTCCCTCTTGATTATCAGAATTTAATTTCTTTACTTTTATATCTTTTGTCTAAAGAGTTTTTATATCCTCTAGCCTAACAGTGGTCCTACGAACTAGCTATTGGCTC